TGCTTGTGCTTTCATTTTGGCTGAAGTCCTACAGTAACCAAAGCCACCGGCGCCACCTGCTGGTAATACACGATGAAAAGGGTGATGGTTTCTGTTCAAATAAATTAAAAATATGAATTGCTGCATCCTTTTCCAGAAGGAGGCTCTTAACTGTATATTAGATTTGTTAAGCTTTTGTTTTAAAATATTTCCTTACGCTTTTTCCATTGAAATAACTAAAATTATGTTAAATTAATGTAAAATATTGTTTTCGAGTATTAAAAGTAACTAAGGCAAGATTTGTAAAACAGAACATTTTTAGATAAGTAAATAACTGTCTCTATATATCAATTACTCTGGCCTTAACTGATACACTGGGCATGGTCTTTATTTGAGCTTCTAAAGGTTAAACAGTTGGAAAAGTGGGTTAATGCTTGAGCCACACAATGTTTAAATTTTAGGAGGATGTTTAATTTCTCTGGCAAAGTCAGCACCCTCCACTCATCCGCCTCAGTGAGTCATGGCTCTGATCCTGCGTCACGTGCTCCTCCACACATCAAATAAAACAAAGCAGATACATCACTGAAAGCCCAATTTGGAAATCCCCTCAATTCTCCATGCAAATACATTTTGCATGCCTTTTACTGCATTGTGAGCAGCAAACCATTTAGTGTGGCATCATTTTAAAATATGGATGTCGCCTTGCTATTCTCTCAGGTTTTTCTAAACAAACAGATGTGAGTCATTTTAAACCTCTGGTGTGAATATGAGGATTTAGAAATACATGCATTTGGAAAACATTTCATCTCAACACGAGCAACAACACCTTAGTTTCTGGTAAAGGATGCTATTGTTTGCCAGGGGGTTTGCATCTTATGATAATGGATAAGGTGGACGGAGAATTACTTGCCACTTTAGATGTAACTCTACAGGAATATTAGAAGTGAAAGACTTCTACAGGAAGTACTGGAGGAAAGTTTTGGGCTGCCACATGCTGGCAGAATAGCTGCATGTCTCTGGGAGACGTCTCATCAAACAGATATTGTCTGGCTTTGTGATGTGACGAACAGGTGCACGGTTTTATGATATGTATATTCCACTGACGGAAATAACAAAAAAGTTCTTCCGTTTGGAAAAACTTGAGCCTCACAGACCGTCTTCAACAGCTTCAAGGAAATTCTTTGAATGAATAACGAAGTCGCTAGAATTTGAATTGGAAAACTTTTCCAGATTCAATCAGGTGAATATTAGGTTTTTCAATACTTTTGAATTCAGACCATCTGGTTTGCTTCTTTTCAACGTGCATATCTGTATAAATGATGGCGTTCCACTAAAGGGGTCCCACTGGTTTATCCACTAAATAGAAGAGTAGCCATCTGTTATAAAAACCCATCTGTTATAATATGACACAAAAACAAATAGAAGCTCAAATCAATCATTTTTCAACTGCAGCAGTATAAATGAAAAGGCTGCTCCTTACATTAACGTTGGACACCAGGCAGAAAACACCAGGACCTTGCATTTACATGAATTTGCCACTAGAGGGAGATAGTGGAATATCTATAAACGGGCAAATCTGGATTTTTTTTTGTATTTTTATCAATTTATCATTCCATTAGAGAATTTTCCACATGGGCTCAGGGTGCAGAGGTTCCAGCTTGGTAACACAACACTGTACAACAAATTAAAATTTGATCAAACACATACATTCAGGTCACACTCTACTTTCAAAATATAAGCACTGCAGTTATTTCCCATCATTTTCTCCCTACATGGGTGGATTTAGACTAATCAGACATTTGATGTGTCAAATTTAAACATGGTCCACACAAAGTCTGTGTTGTGGAAGATGGATTTTTATCAATTCAGCTGCTTTCATTGCTGTGGGTTCTCTTCACAAGACTGATGGATAATTATTTGGCTTCTTTACGCCTCTCTTTTTCATTTACCTACCATTTAAGGTGCGTAGCAACTATATTTATCGATTTCATTCAATGTCAAGAAACGCATCTTATGTCGGAGAGCTTTAAGAATCTTAATGTTTTATTAACCACTCCTCAGGACCGGTTTCAGTCAGGCTGGAGGGTTCAATTAGCTGTCCGGAATCCGGTTGCCTGCCATGTGAAATCTCTTTGGCAAGGTTTTACCTTTCATTTTCGGGGTTATTTGTGTATAATAATCCACTTACACTGGATGTTTGTTAAACTCCGAATGGGTCTGGAAGGCTTTCTGCGGCTCCCTCTGCAGACATTTTAGGGTGTACGTCAAGGTCAGATTCCAATCAGCGCTCTGCCCGTTTCAGATGCTGACCGGGAATAAACTTTCAAGTGAGTCTGAACTCAAGTCGCTCTGCTGTGAAACAGGAAAAGAAGGCAACAGTCAGGGCTTAATTAAAGATTTACCAGCTTTCTCTTTTATTGAAAAATATAGCAGTTATTCCAAAGAAAGAAAAGTGAAGAAGGTAAATATATTAATATACTGTAAAACCAAAAGATGGAAGAGAAAGAGAAAGAAAAAAACAATACTTGATGTAACACCACAGCCACAGAATAAAAAAAATAATGTGCAGTTGAACTTTGAGCAAGTTTTCTTTAGCAGTCCTTATCTTTTTTTCTTTTGCCACTTGCACAGCCACAACTGTCAGGGAGTGGAAAACTTGAGCAGACCTTGAGTAGATGGTATTTACAAATTCTTTACATGGTTTATTCTGGCAAACTTAGACGTTTCCCACAGAGACGCAACAAATACCAGACAGTTAAGACAACTACAAGGAAGAGTATAGTGAAATTTGGAATGTGTTTGCTTATTATTCTAATTAACTTGTACTCCAACTCCCAATTATTTTAAACTGTCCGATTTGTGTAAGTTGATAAATCTCCCAAGTACAATTCAACCACAAATGTACCATTTCATGTCAAATGCGCATAAGGAGTGTTTTTTTCTTTCCTCAGGAAAAAAAAGACTTGAACGTGAGATAATGCATGTGCACGGACACACAAAGAACATATTTCACAACCAGTAAAGACATCTTAACATTTGGCCCATCTCAAATAAGAACTCTAATCTTTAAAAAAAGAAGTAAAAAAATCCTCTAAATCCTCCTCACCAGCATCTCCAGATAATAAGGGCCTGACGAAAAACATTGATTAATGTTGACAGATTTGGTTTTTATCACACGTGGAGGAGTAATGGTGTCATCCGACGGTGTGTCCAGCGGAGCTGAGCAGATATGGGGGAAGGAAATCTGATCAACAGTGACCCCATCATTTGAGTTTTTTTCCTCTTTCCAATATATGCTCGTACAACAAATGCGAACAGGAAGTAAGCGCGTGTTGGGCGTCTGCAGCTGCTACAGGTCTGTGTCTGCGTCTCTGATGTGGCGCACAAACACTTGGCAATCTCCTCCAGACGGCTTTTCATTTTCAGACTTCTTGCAACACGTTTCTTTTTTCCAAGACAACAACTCCAGGCAGAATGGCACAGCATCCTGACTCTCCCCTGCGTCGGCGCCAATTCCAAAGCTCGAAAATTCTCAAATCTGGCAAATTAGCCTTTAATACAACAATTAAGGGTAGAAAAAAAGAAAGAAAGAAAAAAGGTCAGGCTGGTTTCTTGTATGCAAGAAAAAGCATTTCGCTTTAGTTCTGTGGCTAAAAGTAAGCTAATGAGCCTGTCGACTTTTCAGAAGAATGAAACACAAAGAAGCCGGGGAGCAAAATGCCCACCCGTCTGTTCCTGACCCGGCTATTCATGGAGCAGTTCCAGCGGGTAGGGGGTCAGAAATAAAACACCTTTAATGAAAAGAGCAGAAAAGGCAAGACGACTACTTGATTTAATCATCTGCTCCTACTGTGTGATCTCGGCTGTGTGGAGGAGCGGAGTATTATCACCTTGGGGGTCAGTTCAGGAAAGGCATTCCGCTCTCAGAGCTGGGAGACACACTTGATGACCTTAAACTCTCCAACACTTGGACGCACCGTTGCGTCCTTCCTCTGGCCCTGTGGAGCAGTCCCGCCTCAGTCGGGTTTGGACATTCACAATCATTATACAGTATTCAAAATTCTACCGTAACTATTCCCTTCAGTGCGTCTCGCCGCTGACCCGCTGATGACACAACCCTCCTTTATGGCGCCGAACGCCACGGCCATCACTTCAAAAGTACCAAACACGGAAAACATACAAAAAGGCCTCGTGACAATTCACATTGTTTTCAGCAGGAATGATGATTTGGTGGATCCTGGAGCTCGATGCTTGGAGCTCGCAGTACCGTTTAGCTTCTGTAGTGATTTAAGCTTTAAGACTAAGTAGTTCATAGAAAGACCGATTCATCCCTTATAATAATGAATGAATAAATATCAAAGTGGTCTGTGAGTTTTAAGGACACAGACCTTCCCAAAAAATGGCAAAATAGCGACTGAAATACAACAGGAAGTCGACCCACCGGATCCTGTGTAGCCCCGAATCACTCTTAAATTCAGACGTGAATAAAAGCAGTAACTACCTTTATAGTGTCAATCTCAAAAATGGTTTCTTTGCCCCACCGTCACTCCCGCAATAAAAACGACCCTATCAAAGTTTCACCTCGACATTCCTCACCATCTGACCACTCATCCACACCATCGAACTTCAATATCCATTCTTTAAACTCACTTTGTCAATCTTCTTAACATAAGTGTGCTTCTCACTGCCAATTTGCTTCTGTGAGAGCCGGCTTTATTCGAACCTGTGAAATAACCCAAAAATAATGCGCTCTGGGATAAAGTGTTGCTGAAATTGCATAAACCAATCCCAACATTTCCGAAAGGGTACTTTTAGAGCCACTGTGTCGCTCCCGCCGTCTTCCTGCAGCACAGTGAGAAAGGCTTAACTGGTTTTACTTACAAAGCTGATAAAAAGTGTGCTGACATTAGACCGACCTACAACAACAAACCTCCTGTGGCCCTGGCTGCGATACCACCTAAAAACTGGGATTCTTTAGTGCTCTACACTGTTTGTGGCAGCTGCGGGGGGGGGGGTTCAGTCTACACCCGGATCTCGTCGTCGTCGTCATCCATGAAGGTGAAATCCTTCTCGTCTTCCCCCCGTGGCGAGCTGTACTTGGCACTGTCCGTGTCGCCGTCCTGCAGGTGGTACTGCGGCTTGTCCGAGCCCGAGCTGGACACGGAGCAGCTGTCGTCGGCGTCGTGGTGGTTGCTCCTGGCGTGTGACTCTGGCGTGTAGGGCGTGTGCTGGGGGGCGCCGCGGGGCGGCCGGGACGGCGCCCGCTCCTCGGCGTCGTCGTCGTCGATGTTGGGGATGTGCGAGGGCGACGCGTGCTCCTCGCTGCTCTTGCCCTCTTCGTAGCCCAGGTCGTCCTCCTCCCAGCCTTTCTTCTCCATCACGCTCAGGATGTCTCCCAGCATGGAGGGCCCCAGGTCGATGTGGAAGGACATCATGGACTCCGCGTGCTTCATCCCGCCTCCTCTGGGCATGGATGGGGGCAGCTCCGTGAGCTCGCCGAAGTTGCGCTCGTCGAACTCCGCGTCCAGAGCCGCCATGGCGGCGGCGGCGCCGTTTACGGGCCTGTTTTCCACTTCTGTCTGGATCTTCATGGGGCTGGAGGACACGCTCTTGGGCAGCTGGCCGCTTCTGCTGGAGCGCTCGTCGTTCAGGTAAGGCAGGGATATGGCGTTTTTCACGAACTGGGAGGGGGCGGCGGAGGGCACGGCAGCGTTGCACTCGCCGCGGTTCACCGACTGCGAGCGCTTGCTGCTCCGGAAGGTGCGCGACAGCAGCCCCGGCTTGGGGCCCGGGGAGCCCTGCTTGGCCTCGGGCTCTCGGGGCGGCTCCCCCGACCGGGTGCTCAGGAACGAGGTGTCGCCGAAGGCGTCGCCCCCCCGCCCGACGTGCATGGTGTGGCGGAAGTCCCCCAGCGGGGCGCTGATCATCTCGGCGGTCAGGTCCGCCCGGGACCGCCGCTTGGACTGGCTGGAGCTGTGCACCAGCTGCTTGAGAATAGGCATGATGGCAGTCTCTCTGTTATGATCCGCAGACGGAAACCAAAACGGGGCTTTGTGGGCGTGGAGGAGGCTTCCTTCCAAAGTTTCTTTGGGAATTATATAAGATTTTATCAAACAGAGTATTATTCCAGGTGCTTAATGTGTGCAGCCATTCCGTCTTTTCAGCTCAGGTTTCATCTTGCGGGTGAGTCAGCCTGTGAAGAGAAAAAAACAATAGACAGCATTAATGTCATATCAGAGCTTCCACAAACCAATGTGGAAACGTGCCATCAATAACAGTCTGTGTCTATCCGGATGAAGATTAATACCCCACTGTGGGAGCCTCTCCAGAAAAACTGTCTTTTCATTTGTCGTCTCCGCCCGTCACATAACCCACTCACTCCTGATCTTTTTAAAGAATGGAAACTTTTGCTGCCAAGGCTTCAAAATGAAGGCTCGCATGAGAGGTTCTGAAGTAGCAAAAGCTTTAATATGCAAAAGTCTGGGAGTGTGTTATGTAATGGTGAAAAGGGGCTTTTCTGGTACAGAATTTGTAGCACACTTTACTCCAATTCAGTAACAGGACCACCAGTGAAGTTTGCCATGGCAAACCGAGTTCCAGTTCAGCCGAGTTCTACCCCTCTGATACATTTTTGGGGCCTCTTTTATGTGCTGTCTCCTTTAGATCTTCATGGGCTGCAGCGTCTGCTGTGCTTTGGTTCCCATTTAGGCCCCTGACTGTTACATAAGCAGAGAGACAGAGCAGCTCAGCTAAAAGGAATAAAAGAACGAAAAAAGGGAAAGTGGGGGGAGCACTATTTCCTCAGGGTGGATCGACTTACAGCACAGCTCAGAAAGCCCAGATCAGGTACAACCTGTAGTAACCCCTTTCATAATCAAGCAAGAAAAAGTTTCCATCGCTGGCTTTGTGTATTTCTCCTTGTTTTTAAGTGAAATGCGAGTATCAGCTAAGCATTTTATTATTTCTCAATACCTTTACTTAAATCTACCACTTTAATTCCCACTAAATGTACTCTGCTTGCCACGCAACAGGTCTGATTTTTTGAAAAGTTAGCCTGATTCTCGAGTTCCACTGATAATTGTTAACACAACAAATTAATCATCAAGCCTAAAACACTTTTGTCACTTGAGGCGAAAGCCATGAAACATAATCCTAAAGAACAGAATGAAGTGGAAAAGAGGTTTAAACACCCACTTATGCGCAGGGTACAGTTCACAAGCTCCATGTGTTACCGAAATGAACAAAGGCATCCGTTGTTTCAGCCAGACAGCAGTACCATCGCTCAGTGTTTTCAGACCGGAGCTGAAGCCCGAGCTGAAGGCCTGCCTGCGTGTATCTCGCCCGTGAATGAAAGGGGACTTCACCCAACAGTATTCCAAAAGAACGTCACTCGTGAAAACATTTGCATTTCTGACAAGAACCCATTGAACTGGAAAGAGAACTGTAGCAGCAGAAGGAACAGAGTGGTGTTTGATAAATGATAGAAGCTGGTGAAGCAAGTGTGCGTTTTTTATGTTTTTTTTCCCTTTTTGTCCTCTCAAATGACACATCATAGCAAAAGAGAAATGAGCTCCATCCACTGAGATGGTTTCATTTGCTGCATTAAACAACTTCATTGAAGACATTTCCTTTAGGTCTGCTGCTGATGGGGGACGACACACTTTGCACACAAAGCTTAACAGGGAGCAAATGAAAAGCATTTTTTCTCACGCTGTAGAGCCACTTGAGTTCAGGCTATAAAAACAAGACAACTGGAATGAACTTATTGCTCCAAAAACTATGCAAGCAGCAACTGGATGTCAAATTGTTAGCTTACATCTTAAAGCAACAAATGCCACCACAGATCAAACAGAAATTCTGATCTTACAGTAGATAAACCTTTTATTCCTTAATTGAGCTGCAGCCAGCTAGCATCCGCTGCACTAAAGGCTGCCGACTGTGTGACTGACCACTGAAGACAAGCCATCGACAGATACGTTCCTCCCCGCTGTCCAAAGTTTTGTCATTCTCTATGGCAACGCAAGAGCAGTCCGCTGGCCACCAATTACACTTCCTGTTTCTAAGCCGGCCGGAGACAAGGAGGAAAAGATTTCTTGCCCTACATGGGGAGAGCAGCTCATTCACATGGATCAACCCTTCCCAGCGGCCACATGCAGGAGTGTGAGACAACCTCCACAGTAGAGTTGAAGAGGAATGCTTTTGATGTGTTCTGTCACAAGAAGACACTGAATCTCAACAGAAAAGATGTCAGTGAGTTCTCGGATATCACACAGGTGCAAACCTCACACCTTAGGTCATTATACAAAATAGTCCATCTCAATGCCGAGGGGCACCCCTTGATATTTGAAGAGGATGTTTTCAAAAACCCCAGGATACATCGGACCCCATTACTGTGAGCAAGACAGAAGGGGAAGTATGGCCACCCCTACTGTAAGACTCATCTGATCTTCTGAAAGGTTATTCTCATGAGTGTTAAACCTTTTCAGAATGACGTTTCACAGTATTCTGCGTATCAAATGAGAACTTACATTTACATAAAGGGAAAAGGCTTTTTTATTTTTGCTCATCAGTGACCCCTGGTTAACCTGTATTGGCTGTACCACTCATGTTTGGATTCACAAAGCAGGAGGAAAGTAATGATACAGTATACAAAAACACAGGCACAAATTTGGACATGTGTCTTTTAGAAAAAATGTTTACAACGATGTAATAAGATTGTCGCATTTGTTTTAGCTGAGAATTACTGCCTCAGTCATTGTGCCAGCTGGTGACAAGGCCTTTATGTAACCGAGCACTCACAGCGCCATGTGACTCAAGCTCAAACTGAGACAAGTGGTGACAGGGCCATGAATGATTAAGAGCATCTTATGCTGGTAGCAGACTCTGATACGTGCAGGATGACATCACAACTACCAACACGCTCACCCGCATTCAGTCGCACACTTGTAATCCAACAGATCACAGATATCCCACTCGTGCCACTTTCTCTCTTTCGACTGCTCAGCCAATCAAAGCTCAGAAGCTGTATACTTAGACCAGGGGAGCAGAAGCTGGTTTCATCTTGGGCTGCCTTACAAAAATAGATTACATTATTTATCTAGAAGGCAGAAGATTCCATGCAGGCAATACAGAGTTAGGCAAAGGGTGAAAATACACAGCTATAGCACATCAACTATTGTCTGGTTAAATATCTTGATATCTACAGAATTTCTAAATAAAAAGAGCCACCTCAGACTTTACTAAACAACCAGAACAATGGCTTTTTGCTGCTAAAATGAATATCAATACTTAATGGATGAAAGCAAAAATAGAATTTGATTATTTATTAATAATGTGTCTCTTTTTTTTTCAAAACAACTTAATAACACAACAATGTTGCTGTCTGAACAACAAAAAAAATCTGATTCATTTTGAGGCGTCCCCCAGTTGCTCAATTCTATTGTCAGTTACATTGATATGCTAATGCTCATAGCAGTTAGCCAAAAGTATCTATGACAGTCTTAATCAATTAAACACCAGGGTGCATAACAATGAAAAGTTTGTGGCCCTCACAAAGAGCATTTGCAAATTTCATTTGCACCTACTTTGTCAATCCCCTAACTTCCACCCCAAACATCTCATTCCCACGGAGGGGGGGGGGGCTGTAAGCGACCCGAGGATTAGAATTTTAAAAAAGTCTGTTGATTATGAAAGAGCAATGAGATATAGTGCAAAAACTAATAGACAAAAATGGATGAAAAAGATGTGTGATTTACTATGTGCTATTTGCAGAATTATCCACGCAAACCAACAAAAAAGGTCTAAACTTCTGATGGCACTCATCTCATTACAATGTAATTCAGGGCTGTTGAGATTCATGTGGATGTTACTTTGACACATACCAGTCTGAGCTCTGCTGCAGAATAGGCCTCTATACAGAATAGGCCCCCTTCCCCTCTAACCCCGACCTCGGCAGGAAATGCAATACCACATAAAACATTAAAAATGGAAAATTCTAATAACACCTCAGGTCTGAACCCAGTCCAGCTATCATGGAAAAAAAACATTAATTTCCCTTCATTTTCATTAATAAGCTACTTTAAAAAAAAAAAGTAATCTTATTAAACTATGCCAGACAAACTTCCCATTACAGAGGCCTCACCCTGAAACCCTCAGGGCCAAAAGGATCTTTTGGCATTGTGAATACCCGACTCCAGGTTTACTACAGAGATCGCACACATCCCTGTCTCAACAGGCCTCGCCTGCTATGACTACACAATAAAGGAGCAACATTTGGTGCCTACATTACAGGTATTATAATTAGAATAATTTAGCAACTACATACTACATACTACTTTGATCATTGTTTAGCCAGACAAGCTAAGAAAAAATATAAGTTCAAAACCCAATGTTTTGAGCTGCTCACAATGTTCCCTTAATGCATTGAAATGTCCCGTCAAACATGTTGAAATGCTCAGAAAATTGGAATTTAGAGCAGCTACCTATGCAGCAAAACATCCCTCTGGCTCCGCCGAGACTGAGACTTAACAACGTCAACATGCAGCTTTCTCCAAATGGTACCATTAAAGTATGTCTCCAGTTAATAAAGTGGGGAAAGAGCTGTTTGAGACAGTTTTCAGCCTCAATTATTGTAAAGGTCAGACACAACCATTACCCATCCAACAACAAGGGAGAAAACAGCACTAAATCAAAGAGCAGACCCAGGTTTATTCTGCAGCACCTCCCTTTAATGGAGTCCAGCTGGTTAAGGCAGGCTCCTTTGAGAGTGGTGATCAACGTCTATATTGATAAGCAACAGCAGTATCTATACAATAATGAATATATTTAAAAGTTACATGTATTGAATACAAAAGTTCCAAAATCTGCTAATGCTGTGAGTGCCATGACGTTTTTTGGGGATATGTATGAAACTACTTCTGACTTACATCATGTATCCACAGAGCTCATTAGCAAAGCCTCCATCTGATTTTACCAAGGTGTTTCATGTGGCTCAAGGTGCCTT